ATGACCTCTCGAGGTCCCTTCCAGTCCTAGAATCTATGAATCTATAACCCATCACTGGACACTAGGCAATCCCCCACCATGTCTGCCCCCTGCCTATCCTCCTCTGCCCTTCTCCTGGCTGGCTACCCCATGTGGGCACAGACAGCAGCTCCCCATGCTGCGCCTGGATGTTGGCGAAGCACCAACTGGTCCGATTCCGGGGCTGGTGCTCTGAGCACTCTGGATAGGCCCAAATATCTCACTGCAGTTGTGATGGGGGAGGGAGGGGAGCATCTGGGGCCAAAATTGAGCCATGTAAGTTGCAACACCAAATTTGGCCTCTCCCTCCCCCCCAGAAATGGTGCACGGGCCTGGGACAAATCAGAGAGGGCAGTGGGACAGCCCCATGCGAGATAGGCCAGGAAAAACATTGTGTGAGGAGCGTGCTGGAGCTTAGGTATGAAATAGGGATCTGTGCGCCTAGCCTGAGGCAGCTGTGTGCATGCCCAGAACCAGATTTGTAGACACTTGGGGGATTTAAATGACAAAAATTTAGGTGCATAGGACCATTAAACACCTTCAGAGTTAGGCAACAGCTGAGTGGGGGGGGGGGAGGCGTTGAGGATCAGTGGCATCTAAATATCAGAATCAGGTACCTAAAGTGAAATTAGCAGCTAGGCTCCTAAATCTTTTTGTGTATCTAGCCCCCGGTGCCTAACCTGCTTTGACAACCCCTCTAGGCCCCTATCTGCATCCTCAAGTGCCCAATATCTTTTAAAATCAACCCGAAGCCATTTTTTAAAAGATGCTTTTGAAAAAACTTTCCAAAAACCTAATGGACTTCAAAAATCAGTTCAATATAATCTGGGGCCACAAGCACTAAAATACCTTAATCTGAATAGAATGGGGCTTTGAGTGGTATCACTCCATGGCAGGGTCTCACAGTTGGTGCTAAATGTCTGAACAGACCCATTGTTAATGATTATTGCTAAAGCCAGTAGCAGATTGACTTTGCTCAGAAAACATGTTCTGCACTCTAGGGGTAAATGCTGAAATTGTGGGGAAGAACAATCTGTGTTTTTCACACATAACAGAAGTTGAATACCTGCTTTAAGGGCAGAGCCTCGTTCTCTCAGCAATCGGGAGATGCTGCCCCCTCCCCTCATCATTCCTCTTGGGGCATCACTCGTAGCCCTTTAGATTTCCGGGTCACTCCTGACATTTACAAAATCATTACATTGGTTGTTCTGCATATTGAGACTGTAAACGCTTTCCCTGAGGAGCTCTCATAATGTGTATATACAGTACCTAGCACAATACGGCCATAGCCTTCTGCAGAACCTCTAACTGCTGATATATTACAAATAATCATGGTATTAACTGAGACACAATTATTTTGTTATCAGAGAAGAATGAATTTGGGGAAAGTTGTGGTATCAAGAACAGGCCGCGTATCAACAGAGAGAGACTCCCAAACCCTACAATCTAAAATTCCAGTCCTGCAAAACCTGAGTCACATGTTTAATTGTACTACTGCCAATAGCCCCATTGATTTAAATGGGTCTGAGCTAGAATTAGGCAGGTGGTAAAGTTGAGAGAGTGGGGATCTTGGGCTGAAACCAAGCTCAGAGATCAGAATCACTTTAGCCATATTATACATATATACATTTGTGAATATACTGCCTGCAATTTAGCCTATGACAGGGCAGAGGTGAGATTGTATGAGTGACAACACTGTGCATCGCCGTACCAGACCATGTTTGTATTGCTTTTACTTTTAACCTCCACTCTGAATCTGGTGGATATTTAATGCAAAACAAAGGACACCGTGAGCGTGAGAAACTAAATTCTACTTTATTATTTCAAAGGACAAACGAAGACAGACTCCTTTCCCCACCCCGCAGCCCAGCTCAGCACGGTACTTTTCATCCCCAGCCCAGCACATTGCTGCACCCAATTCCCCCAAGCACCAGCAACAGAGCAACATTTACAAACTGGCAGAAAAGTGCAGAGAATCCAGGAGAGATGCTGGGACCCAGTCACAAAGCAAACACTCCGAGAGCAGGGAATCCAAGGAGCTGAGATTGGATGGATACAGTGTGGGGTGAGTGGGGCAGAGATAGTTGCTGTTGTCCCCACACAGGATACTGGTAGATGGGGAGGGGTGACCAGCTGGGCTGTCAGGCTCCTCATCTACTTCTGGCCTCAATTATGGGGGTTAGTCTGGCTTCAAGGCTGCCCCAAGCCTGTTGGCTTCCCCAGCTTCCTTCTTTCCTCTGCCCAGCCTCGTCCTCTCAGCAATCGGGACACACTGTCCCTTCCTCTCTTCGCCTCTCGGAGTGTGAATCTAGCTCTCACCCTCAGTGTTCGTGCTGAGAGATATTGATAATTTTCATTGTTCAAACACAAAAATCTCATGATAATGGGAAAGAAATGGTTAAAATAAAATAGAAAAAGGACTCTTTGAGCAAATGATATTTGTCTCATAAAGTCCTCAATAAAGCTGGGCTACATCCTGTCAAACTAAACTGATATCAAATTATGTGACCAACCAGCTTTCAGGAAGAGAGAGAAACCAACACTACAAGGTGGGCTACAAAACACTTTCAGGTTCATAAAGTGAAATCCCACAGAATCATAACTCCCAAAAGAAGGAAAACAAATTTATCCATTTTCTTCTGACCTTGCTAAACCTGCTGTACTCAGCACCTCCTCTTTATTTGGTTGTGTCAGTTACAAAAGTTTTAGCATTGTTCCAATGCAAAAAAGAAACAAAAACACTCCGTTAGGAGTCTGCGTCAGGATTAAAAAAAATTAAGAAGTGTGACACCTAAGCATGGAGAGCAAAGAACACTGTTGGAAGTGCCATGCTGGGAGGTAGAATAGGGAGAGGATGAACTCTCCATGGCTCAGACAGGGGCTGCTGTGTCAGGGTGGAGTGTGGCAGTGAAGGGGGGAGGAGGGAATCCCTCCAATTCACCCCATCACCCTCAAATAACACAGAACCCAAAACACCACATTTTCCTATCCCTGCTCTAGCACTTTTAGAATCTATTTAATTCTGGTCTCCAAGGGAGTCAATGTACAAAAAATAAATGTTTTTTGGAATAACCTGGAGCAATATGAGACTATGTGGGAATGAGACAATCTCTCCCCAAAGGGGGAACTCAGTGACTCTAACAATCCCTCTGCTAATGGGAAGATCAGACTATATAAAATGGTTGGGGTCAGTCTAGACTAGGAAGAGTGGGGGAGGGTCAGAGGAGATTTGCTAGCTAATCCCAACCACTTTTCCCACCCCAGGCAGGCCCATGGAAGCTGATGCTGCGGAGGCAGAGGTGGGATCCGAGGCCTTTAGTAGGGTTACCATCCGTCCGTATTTTCCCGGATATGTCTGGCTTTTTCGTCTTTAAATAGCCGTCCGGGAGGAATTGGTAATAAGGTTAGAAGGTCTGGGATTTTTCCCCCTCCCCTCCCTCCCTCCCTTCCATGCAGAGTGCGGCGTAGCTGATTGGGCGGCTGGGCCTGATTGAGCCGCTCCCATTGGCTTCCAGCAGCCAGAGCCCCTCCCCTGCTCCCCCCTGCTGCCTCAGCACTCTGCGGGGGGCAGCCCGGCAGCGTTTTGCCTCCACGTGGAGCCAGCATCTGACCGGCATGAGCATGGTAAGGGGAGTCCCGGGGGGCAGTCAGGGAGCAGGGGGAGGGTTGGATGCGTCGGGAGTTCTGGGGCGGGGTGGCTGTCAGGGGGCGGGGGTGTGGAGAGGGTTCAGAGCAGTCGGGACAGGGAGCAGGGGGGAGGGTTGGATGGGTCGGGTGTTCTGGAGGTCCCAAGCTGGATCTTCCCATGCAGACTTAATCTTAGTGTCTGGGTTTTTCTGCAGCAGGATGTGGCCCTACCTGTGTGTTTGCCAGTGTAGGCTGGAAAGCCTGGCTTGGCAGGACAGAGGTGAGGGGACCCTGGCTGGTGAACAGGTGGGCTCAGTGGAACCCCAGTACATCAGGTGGCATCAGGGGGCAACCCATCACGGGGCTGATTTGAACTTCTCCTCCTCCGCCTGCGGTTAGCTTAGACCAGGCAAGCCAGAGTATCACTGATCAGCTCAGGGTCAGCAGCTGCTGGAAGCTGCCCCCAAAGATGGGTAGATGGATACCTGGGAGCCAAATGCCTCTGATGTGTGTGGGAATTAGGAAATGGAGTTTTTACTAAGGCGAGCCCTAGTCAGGGCACTGAGAGAATTTCTCTCCTGTGTGGAGGATGTCCAATGTGGTGTTAGATCCAACTGAAGCTTTTTCCATGCTAAGGACATCTGAGAGGGCTCTTCCCTGTGTGGATTTGCTGATTGATGCCGTGTGAGCACCAAATAAAGCTTCCCCCACATTCAAGCTCTTTCTTCTATGAATTATGCGATGGGGAATAATGTGTGAGCTCAGACTGAATCTTTTCCTGCACTTATTGAAGCTTTTCCCACAATCCAAACATTTATGGGTTCTCTCTCTTGTGTGGATTGTCTGATATGAAGCAAGGTTTGATTTTCAAATAAAACTTTTCCCACAGTGGAGGCATTTATATGGGTTTCTCTCCTGTGTGGGTTCTCTGATGTGAACTAAGGGCTGATGGTCCATTGAAATTTTTCCCACAGTCCAATCATTTACAGGGTCTCTCTCCCATGTGCAGTCTCCGATGGGCAGCAAGATTTGAGCTCTGACTGAAGCTTTTCTCACAGTCCATGCATTTATAAGGTTTCTCTCCTGTGTGGGTCCTCTGATGTACAATAAGGACCGATCGTGCACTGAAACTTTTCTCACACTGAAGGCATTTATAGGGTTTCTCTCCCGTGTGGGTTCTCTGATGTGTAATAA